GGTGTGTGTGTGGTGATGGTGGTGTGTGGTGGTGGCGTGGCCGCACGCACGCACACACACACACACACACACACGTACGTTAAGTCCATTAACCTGAGTTGTGAGCCTGGGAGGCAGCTATGTGTGGAATACGAGTAGTGTATATGATCCCGGCACACACACACCACTCCACCCACCACTCCCGCGTACCATTCCACCACCTGTTCACCCACTCACCGATCACCGATACACCCTCCACCTGCACCACTCCACCGATACACCACTCCACCATCTACACTACTCCACCGATCCCACCCTACACTACCCACTCACCCAAACACCACTCCACCGTCACCCTCCACCGATACCACTCCACCGTACACCCTCCACGTACAACTCACCGATACACTACTCACTACTCCCACAATCTGGCTAATATTAAACACCTCACTTGGTTTCATCATCCTGGACGACCATGTTACCTGTATATTCACACACCTTCCCTCTGAGTTAAGGTTAAAACTATCACACCTTTGTTTTGAATTAAGTGTTGCAGGTGGTGGGTGTAGTGGGTGGTGGGGGGGGTGTAGTGGAGGGTGTAGTGGAGTGGTGGTGGAGGTGGTGGTGGAGGTGTGATGAAGGGGTGGTGTATGTTGGGATCTTATTTTTTTACTCCTTCCTGCACCTCCTCCTCTCCTTCCCACACTACCTCCTTCCTTTCCCCCTCCTCTCCCTCTCCCCTCTTCCCCCTCCCCCCTTCCTCCCTCCCGCCAGTCTTTATTGTGTTAATAGCAGTGGACCCTTTAGAAATAATGACTATCATTCCGATTCAAACTACATTATCCATTCCTGTCTGATATGTGACCCCCCATCTTGACGTGTGTGTGTGTGTGTGTGTGTGTGTGTGTGTGTGTGTGTGTGTGTATGTGTGTGTTCTCTCTCTCTCTCAAACACAGCTCGTCAGTGTTACCAAGACTCTCTAACCCTCGCGTTTGGCAGTATACCAAAGTTTAAACAAGATTGCTTTGAGCTTGAACCTCCTCCCCCTGCTACTATCATCCCCTACCACCATCACCCCCCTGCCACCATCACCTGCCACCATCACCCCCCTGCCACCATCACCCTCCTGCCACCATCACCCCCCTCACCACCATCACCCCCCCATCATCACCCACCACCATCACCCACCCCTGCACACCCCTGCTGCCACCATCACCCCTGCCACCCCCTGCCACCATCACCCCCTGCCACCCATCACCCCTTGCTCCCTCCCTTCTCTCCCTTTGTGTTACCAAGAGGCTGTAAGTTATCCACTTATCTTTACTTTATTACTTGTTACATAAACGCAAGAACAATTTAGTGACAACCTCTCTCTTTATAAGTTTAAAGTGTGTGGAGTGTGAGGTGTGTGTGTGTGTGTGTGTGTGTGTGTGTGTTGGCAAGAGAATCACTCACAGGTAGATGGAGGGAAGGAGAAAGAGGAAACGAGTGAGAGAGAGAGAGAGAAAAGGAAGATGAAAGGGATATAAGAAGTGGAGAGAGAGAGAGAGAGGAGAAGGAGGAATAAAGCAAGAAGAGAGGGAGAAAAAGAAAAGGAACGAATAGGGAAGAAGAAAAGAGAGAAAGAGAGAAGGTGGGAAAGGTTATGTGGGTGTCTGTATGTGTGTGAGAGACTGAGAGAAACATCATCCAATTACACACACACACACACACACACACACACACACACACACACACACACACACACCGAAACTCTCACGTGTTCATGTCAGATAACAAAATATTACCTACACCGAAAGCACCTATGACTAATTAAACAAAGGTGAAAAAAAATCTTAACTTGATTACGTTTCCTCTTATGCCTGTGAGCCTGTGTGTGTGTGTGCGCGTCGGCCTCCTGAATAATCCATGAGAGGCAATTCAGTTCGAGAAAAAATATCATATGTATTTGTTTATACATGAATTCCTGAAGCGTTTGTTGCCTCCAGAGAGCAAGCTGGTTTGTTGATGTGTGTACTTCCCTCTGTCACCACCAGGGGGGAGAGCGGTTTGTTTATATGTGAGCTTTTGTTTACTACCACCAGGGGGCAGAATGGTTTGTTTATATGTGAGCTTTTGTTTACTACCACCAGGGGGCAGAATGGTTTGTTTATAGGCGTTGTTTACCACTGTTATTGTGATTATATTTAACTCTTTGTGTATGTATGTATGTATGTATGTATGTATGTATGTATGTATATATGTATGTATGTGTACAGAAACACTGATATTTATTTCCTTACCAGATTATAACTACAACCATTCTAGTGTCGAGTCACCGTAAAAAATATTAACATCATTTTAAAAAGACTTCAACAGCGTGTAAATATTTCTCTGTCATAAAAATATACCAAGTTCAAATGAATCTTTCTATTAATATTTATCACATTATTTACTGTTTCCGTGGTATATTAAACTTTAAACCGACCAAACTGTAACAAGAGGGAATATATGAATATGTAATGAATATTCTATTGTTTGTAAACCTTTTTCAAACAGTTGGACAAAATTTTATTCTTTCTCTGATGTGGAAATATTTTTGGATCCGTTGTAATAGTTGGAGCTTTATCAATTTATTAGATTATTTTATTTTATTTCGTCTTTTATTTCTTTCAAAAAATTAACCCTGAATAAATATATATAAAGTGCTTCTGAAGACTTTAAAATAGAGAATCATTTCTAGGTGGAAAAAATATTGTTGGAACCTGATTTCAGTCTTTCTTTATTCGTTCTGGATTAGGATAAGTCTTCTTAAATCCACCAATATAAATTATAAGAAATATATATTCTTAAGTAGATAAATTCAACATTGCAAAACTAATTGTTAATGGGACCATCAGTTTTCAGGTGATAAAATAGTGTTAGAACTTTGTTGTAATATATAAAGTGTTTGAAAAATCGTTCGAAAAAAGAGGTATTATTTTCCCGCTGAACGTAAAAATATTATTTAAATTTACTTTTGGTGTTATTTATACTCGTATATATATATATATATATATATATATATATATATATATATATATATATATATATATATATATATATATATATATATATATATATTTATTTATTTATTTAGGTAATATTAATCCCCAAAAAATCAGAAAAAAATAAAATGCAGGATTTAGAACAAAATAATATAAGTAATATAAATATATATAATAATATAAATAATAATACTTCCCCGTGACATAAAAAATAGTATTAGAACTTTCACTAATATAAATTTTTTACATAATATAAATTCCTAAATCCAACATACATACAAAAATAAAATAAAACGAATTTTGTTTTTACATTTTCCAAAAACTTGAACGAAAGAAAAAGAAAAAATAATAATATTTCACACAGAGATAAAATATTGCTGGAACGCATAGCTGAGCCTTATTTTTTCAGCTCGTCATCTTGTTATTCTGAAAGGTTGAGTTTGGGGGAAGAAAGATGGTGTCCCTTCACATAGGCCACAATGTTATATTAGAGACGCATTTGAATCTATTTTTTTAGGAGCGACTTGATGGTGGTGGGTTGAAGGGGGAGGGAGACAGGGATAGAGGAAAGGGAGGGAGAAGGATTGTTAGATGATAGAGTTAACAGAAGGGGAGAGAGAGAGAGAGAGATATGAGAGGAAGGAAGATGTGACAGAAGGATGAGAAAAGAGAGTTATGGAGGGAAGGATGTAGATAGAGATGTAAGGACACACACACACACACACACACACACACACACACACACACACACACACACACACACACACACACACACACACACACACACACACACTATTGAGGAGTGACTTACATGAGTGTTGGTCTGGCCTTAATTTCCTGTTACTCCTCCTCCTCCTCCTCCTCCCAACTTCTTCCTATTAACAATACACGACTAACATGTCTCATATTTAGTTTGGTGTGTGTGTGTGTGTGTGTGTGTGTGTGTGTGTGTGTGTGTGTGTGTGTGTGTGTGTCAATAAAAATAATAATAATAAAAATAATAATAATAATAATACCCACCACCACCACAACAACAACAACAACAACACCAACAACAACAACAACAACAACAGCAACAATATATTCGAGTTCTAAACACATGGCAAATACCACACACATTTAACACTACTACACAACATTACACAACACTACACAACACTACACTACACTACACAACACTACACTAATCTGTCACCTGAATAATATAACACAAAGCTTCATTATAAAGTTGTTTTGTTCGGCATCATCATAATTTACTGTTGGCTTTGTTTTATGCTGCAATTTATTGGTGTTTTGATTTTAACAGACTTTAATTGATATTTGGTGATGGACGATGCCTTTATCTGTGTGTGTGCGTGTGTGTGTGTGTGTGTGTGTGTGTGTGTGTGTGTGTGTGTGTGTGTGTGTGTGTGTATGTGCATGTGTGTGTGTGTGCGTGCGTGTGTGTGTGTGTGTGTGTGTGTGTGTGTGTGTGTGTGCGTGTGTGTGTGCTGTGTGTGTGTGTGTGTCATGAAGCCATTACAGTGATGTATGGAAATAGCTTTTCTGAAGTACGATGCTGTTGGTGTTCTATTTTTGTCATGAATTAAACCACCCTCACCCCCCTACCTATCCCCTCATGCCCCCCCTCCCACACACCCCATGTTCCTGGTGTGGGGGGGTTAATGAAGTCATGTTTGTGTGTCAGTTTTGTCTGTATGTGTATGTCAGTCGTGGTTAAATGTCATTGTACTAAAAGTCTTAGTACTTAACACACCCTTATCAACACTCAACACACACAACACACCCTAAACAACACACCTTTAACACACTCAACACACCCACAACACACCAACACAACACACCCTAAACAACACACCTTTAACACACTCAACACACCCACAACACACCCTTAACACCCACAACACACCCTTAACAACACACTCAGCACTCACCTGGTCCGCCTCACACCAGGACAGCCTTCATTAGTACTTGAAATCAATCACCTGTACTCACCTGAATCGTACACAGCCAGAGCCAGCTGGAGGCGCCGTCCACAGTATTTGTATCTCACTCTTTGGGATGGACGAGGTCTGAGTAACGGCGTTGGGGCAGTCATCTGAGTGCATAGTGAGGGCGTCTCCATATAGCTGTAAGGGAGAGAGAATATGTTTAGCTTTCTGGGGAGGTGAAGGAGGGATTTTTAGCTTTGGTTTGATTATATTGTGAATGTGTGTGTGTCCCTGTATAGCTGTGAGACAAACAGACAGACAGAGAGACAGACAGAGAGAAAACCTCTTCCACCCACCCATATATCATCATCATCCTCCTAAAAAATAGCAGCTTCTCGCAACATATCCTTCAGGCTGCACACCTGAGTGGACGTATCATCCTCCAGTATCCTACAACATCCTTCAACAGTATCCCCCATCGCCAGGATCCATCGCAGGAAATCTCTACCATTACCTCGCCACCAAACTGGGAAGGTATCTCTTATCGAAGGCTGTCCTAGAAGACTTTGTAAAGGCCTCTGTTTGTGCTCTTAGAGGCGAGACAGAATACCTTTGATGTTGCATTATTATCGACTATCTGAAAAACGTGTTCTAATACCTGGTCTCTACCTGTAAAACGTGTCTTAATTATTTGATTTTTTTACATGTGTTGTTCTAATCCCCGGTCTCTACTGGAAATGTCTCTTATTCATTGTTCTCTATTTTGAAATAACTTCTGTCTCTTGGTCTCTGTCTAGAAAACATCTACTGATTTTACGTCTCTATGTATAAAACCTTTCCAAACAATTGTTCTTTATCTTGAAATGCGCTTTCATTCTCTGGTCTCTATCTAAAAACATCTTGTCTCGTGGTTTCTAAAACTCCGGGTCCAATGTTTCCGGATCACCTGAAGAATAACGCCCCTGGCTTATTTCACCTTAAGACAAACCACTAAAACGCTAACCTAACCTAATTTAATACAACCTAATCTAACCCAACCTAACTTAATCACTAACGCTAACCTAATCACTAACGCTAACCTAACCTAAGATAATCTAAGGTAACAAAACCGAATCTAACCTAACCTAACTAGACCACCTTAACACTAACCTAACTCTAACTAAGGGGCTAATGTTGATGATCCCAAATTTCTCTCACTGGAACACTGACCCGGTGTCCAGGCGAGGTTCACTGGAAAGATACATTGCTTTCTCTGCCAGAACTTCCTTAGTACGTGGCGACGCCCTTGGGACCTCCCTGTGTGTGTGTGTGTGTGTGTGTGTGTGTGTGTGTGTGTGTGTGTGTGTGTGTGTTCTGGTCCTTGTCTTCTATTGGTCACTCCTGGAACATGTGTCTCCTATTGGACACTCTTAATACCCTATTGGAACACCACCCCCCTCATCACCTGGAAGCAATTTTTTAACCCCCACTCCCCTGGAAGATCACGTCTTCACCTCAGCTGGAAATGCACCAGAAAAGTGTTGACCCTCTGGAAAGTCCTCCTGGAAGATATGCTTTAGCTTAGCCCATTACACCGTTCTGCATGGAAACCCGACTCCCTAACCTCTTCAGTCTCTAGACGAGATCTTCCATCCCTTAAAGCCCTGAAGCCCTTCCTGGAAATACAAATCCATTTCTCGACTCCTCTATAACCACTTACCCTCATCACCCACCACTTCCCCACACCCCCACCACCCCACACCCCCACCACCCCACCACCCCACCCTCACCACACCATCACACACCCCTTCACCCCAACCCTACCATCCTGTTGAACTCACCTGGAACGTGCCGACGCTCTGGGGGCCAAAGATGTTGACGGGGGACTGTGACGCCTCCACCACCAGCAGGAAGCCCGTGAACTTCTGCACCGAATACTGGGTCCTCCATCCCTGCACGCTCACTGTTGATCAAGAAGAAGAAGATGGTTAATCCAGGGTGATAATGATGGGTAAATGGGAAGTTGAGGAAAGGAGAAAGGAGAGTATATAAAGGAGAGAGAAATGGAAGAAAAAGAAAGGGAGAGAGAAAGTGAGAAGAATAAGAAGAGTATAGAAGGGAGAGAGAATTGAAGAGATAAGGAAGAGAGTAAGGTAAGGAGAGAGAGAGAGAGAATGGTTATTGGTTTCTTGATGCCATTAAGATCATTAGAGAGAGAGAGAGAGAGAGCTGTCAAGTCGTGTACAGTAAATGGTGAGGTTAATATTCAAAGACATTATGGAGTCTTCATTAATATTCTCTCTCTCTCTCTCTCTCTCCCTCCAGTGTTTCTGTATTGCAGGGCCAAATGACCAGCTATTAGAGAGGGGGAGGAGGAGGGAGGGAGGAAAGAGGAGGAAGGAGGAAGGAGGAAGGAGGAGGAGGGGAGGGAAGGGTGGAGGGGAAGGGAGAAGGTAGAGTAAGAGGGTGGGAAGGAAGGAAGAAAGGAAGGAAGGAAGGAAGGAATTTTACCTAGAGAGGGATGGCTGGAGGAGGGGAAGGGGAACTCACTCTTGTGTGCGAGCCGAGGGGCAGTGCTGAAATACAGGACTGTATATCTAAACAAACGAAATGGGATGCTGAAGTTTTGTGTGGTAGTGTGTGTGTGTGTTGTCTTTCGAGGGGCGTATCTGTGTTTGTTTTTTGTGGGGAGGTGTAGGAAGGACTATTTGGGGATCGGGTTTTTCTTTCCTCTCTCTCTCTCTCCTCTACTCCCATCGCCCACACCTCCTTCCACCTCTCTCCTCCTTCTCCCTTCCTCCCACACTCTCTCTTTCCTCCTCCCCACACCCTCCCTCCCACACTCCTCCTTCCTCCTCCCATACCCCTCCCTCCTTCTCCTCCTCCCACACTCCTTCTTCCTTCCTCCACTCCTCCTCCTCCCACACTTCCTTCCTCCCCACACTCCTCCTCCCCCACACCCTCCTCCCCACACTTCCTTCCTCCTTTCTCCTCCTCCCCACTCCTCCCACACCTCCTGCTTCAATCTTCCACACCTCCTTCCTCCCTCCTCCCACACTCCTCCTCCTTCTCCTCTTCCCACACCTCCCTTCCTCCTCCCACACTCTCCTCCTCCCTCCCTCGCACCTCCCCCAATATAAATAAGAACACGACAAAATAAACTTACAAAAATATTTTGTAAAAGTGTGAATATTTTTCCTAGTGACTTGTTAACGTCAAGTGACTTCAAGTTTTCTTATAGATATTCTCACATTTTGCCTATTTAGAGGTACAGTGAAACCTCCATTTAAACTAGAGAAAAGTCCAAAGGTCCAGATATAAACCTCCATTTAATGAACTATATAGAGATGAAAGTCCGTTTTATCGAGGGATAATCCGTTAGATATAAACCTCCATTTAATGAACTATATAGAGATGAAAGTCCGTTTTATCGAGGGATAATCCGTTAGATATAAACCTCCATTTAATGAACTATATAGAGATGAAAGTCCGTTTTATCGAGGGATAATCCGTTAGATATGAAAACCTCCATTTAAGGGATTATATTTAGAGCGAAGTCCGTTATATGGAGGTTTCACTGTGGAGTTAGTGTAGGTGTGGAGGGGGAAGGTGTGGAGTTTAATATATGTATATTTTTAATGTAAGGTAAACACACACACACACACACACAAACAGAAGGAACTTAAACAGTGTGTGTAATCAACTTGTTTTCCCCCTTTGTTTACACAGCCACAAGTTTGTTTGTAGACAGAAGCTCTGGGAACTCTCTCACACGCCCCTTGTCTTCTGGTCACCTGTGGTTGGTGTTGTTGGTTGTTGTTGTTGGTTATTGTAGTGGTTGTTGTTGTTGTTGTTGTTAGTGGTGGTGGTTGTTGTTGTTGTTGTCGCTGGTAGTTATTGTGGTGGTTGTTTTTGTTGTGGTTGTTCTTGTTGTGGTAGTGGTTGTTGTTGTTGTAGTGGTTGTTGCTGCTGTTGTATTGGTTGTTGTTGTTATTGTTGTGGTTGTAGTGGTTTGTGCTGTGGGCGAATGAATGGGGGAGAGAGAGAGAGAGAGAGAGAGAGAGTATGGTAACACAAAGTTACCTGGAGCTCGAAGACATAAGACTACTGAAGGAGATGAAGACGAAGATGACGAAGAAGACAAAGAAGAAGAAAGTCAGAAAGAAGAAAATGAAAATAATGGACGATACTTTCTTAAGGTAAATTAAGTTATGAAGAGAATTACATTGTCAACACTTTCTAAAGACCAAAAGAGAGAGAGAGAGAGAGAGAGAGAGAGAGAGAGAGAGAGAGAGGCACTTCCCATCCCAAGTAATTTCGACTCAGACAATACACAACAGGTGAATCATCGTCTTCCCTCCTGAACCTAACCTAACCACAATACAACACACTCTTCCATCACCCCATATGTGTGTGTGTGTGTGTGTATCTGTACGCATGTGTGTGTGTGTATATCTGTACGCATGTGTGTGTGTGTGTGTATCTGCACGCATATGTGTGTGTGTGTGTGTGTGTGTAAGTACGTCTGTGTATGTAAGTCAGGCCAGATTTCCAGGAACTCTCTTACTTACGCCAGATACTAAGCCAATGTCACTGAGCCAGCGAGTTAGAAAAACATTCCCCCTCTGTTGACACAGTATTAACACAGAGACGAGAGCCAGGCAGTGTGAGTAGTGAATGAGTCAAGTTTGGACTGGCTTAGATGGTGCATAGCAAAGGAGGGTGGGGAGCCGGGGACAGAGGGTACGGAGAGGAGGGAGGAGTAGAGGGGCAGAGGGGCAGAGAGGCAGAGAGGGGGGGAGAGGGCAGGAGAGAGAGAGGAGAGGAGAGAGAGAGAGAGAGAGGAGAGAGAAAAAAAAATTAGAGAGAGAGAGAGAGGGGGAGGGGCAGAATGGTAAGAAGCTTGCAGAACGATGACTGTAGCACATGAAGAGAGAAAGAGAATAAACGTGTGGGAAGCATAGAGGACGATAAGTATAGCACGGGGAGAGAAGGGGAGCGAATAATGGAAAAAGAGAGTATGAGAGAGAGAGAGAGAGAGCGAATGAGAAACAGACAAACAAGAGGATAATCTTGGTATAAAGCGAAAGGAGAAAATGAGGAGGAGGGATAATGGAAGGACAAGGAGTAAAAAAGAAGATAATGTTGGGGAGAGAAAAACAAAGGAGGATAATCAGGGTAGAGAGAGAGAGAGAGAGAGAGAGAGAGAGAGAGAGAGAGAGAGAGAGAGAGAGAGAGAGAGGAAGAAAAGAAGCTTCATTCTCTCTTTCCCTAGCACTTCTTCCTCCCTCCCCCTCCTCTTCCTCCTCCTCCTCCTCCTCTTCCTCCACCTCCTCCTCTTCTACCTTTCTCTTCTTCCCTTTATGATCTGTCTTCTTTCCTTTCCTGACACTTTCTCCTCCTCTTCCTCCTCCTCCTCCTCCTCCTCCTCCTCCTCCTTTCCCTCTTCCCATTTTCTATATACTTTCTCTCCTGTCCTAATACTTTCCCTGCCTTTCTACCATACACAAAGACTCATTCACGGATGTTGTTGAAACTTAGAAGAATTTAATATAGTTTTTTGAAAGAAGATGAAAGAAGAATGAATGAAATGAAATAAAAAGAAAGCCCCGAATAAAAAATGGGTGTTACAACTTTCTCTTGTGTCGTGTAAAAGAGATTGACACAGAGAAAGTTTAGAGAGTGGTATTAGGCAACGTGTTGAAGGTGGTGGTGGTGGTGGTAGGTCTTGAGGAGAAAGTCGACTTGTGTTTTCTTAAGGTGAAAGTTGAATCGTATTTTCTTAAGGTGAAAGTTAAACTGTATTTTCTAAAGTGAAAGTTAAATCGTATTTTCTTTGGGTGAAAGTTAAACTATATTTTCTAAAGTAAAAGTTGAATCGTATTTTCTTAGGGTGAAAGTTTTACCATATTTTTAAGGAGAAATTGTTCAGTATTTTCTAAAGTGAAAGTTGTATTGTATTTTCTAAAGTGAAAGGTGAATCGTATTTTTCTTGAGGGAAAGTTGAACAGTAATTTCTGGGGTGAAAGTAAATCCAAATGGGAGTAATCAGGTCTTTTCTTTTTAGCAAGGAGAAAGGTAAAGAGAAAGTTTACCTGGTGAAGAGACTATGACAGGACTGTGGTCACGGAGGGAGGCCAGGAAATAGATCGAGTGAAAGTGCAGGAGGGATTTACTTTCTCTCCCTTTCTCTTTATCACGGTTTCTCTCACGTGCAAGAAAGATTTACTCTCTCTCTCTCTCTCTCTCTCTCTCTCTCTCTCTCTCTCAGGGAAAAATGAATTCAGTCAAGAAAGAAATCAATACTTAGGGAAAAATAATACAAGATAGGGAAGAAATTAAGAGTTAGGGAAAAAATATAGATAAAGGGGAAATATAATCAAAGAAAAAAAATTATTACAGTTGAGAGGAAAAAATAATATAAATTTAGTGAGTTAAGAAAGAAGAAATATTTTGTCGCCTGGGATAAAAATATTTAGACTTGGGAAAGATTTTTTTTTTTTTATTATGAAAGAAAAAAATCGTTTGAAAAATAGAATGAAGTGAAAGTTCAATATCATCCGTGAAAATTTTATTACGAATTACACACACACACACGCACTGAGTCAGAGGCAGATAGACACAGAGATACACACAGAGAAAGAAAGAAAGAAATATAACAAGATCCCGAAGTAAAAAAAATAAATAAAAAAATAAAGAAAAAATAAGGAAAAAATAATTTGGACTCAAGGAAAGAAAATAAAATAATTACTGAAGCAAGAAGACCTGGTAAGGAGGGCGACCCCTACTGGGGGGAAGGGGTTCAGGTTGGGGGGTAAGGATGGGTGGGGGGTTGAGGGCTGTGGGGGGGTTGGGGTGTTGGGGGCTGTGGGGGTGTGAGGGCTGTGGGGGTTGAGGCTGTGGGGGTTGAGGGGCTGTGGGGGTTGAGGGGCTGGGGGTGTTGAGGGCTGTGGGGGGTTGAGG